AGTAGATACGAAAAAAGTTGCATGAAAAATTCAAGATTAAAATATGAAATTAGTATTTTTTTGCTAGGTTGAGTCATTTTCGAGATTTATTGGTCAACTTTGTTTTTTTTTTTTTTTAAATACAATGTTATATTTTAATATTTAGTTTTAGGAAGCGACTGTCAAGACGCATCCAATGATGTGCAACATTAATGAATGAAGATAAAAACTGGCGAACAAGCTGGCCACAATACAGCTCTTCCTCGTCATAATCGCGTCAGGGTTGCATCAGAGTCTCGTCATCCTTCAGTTGTTCTGACAACTGACGGAACAGATATTTTCCGAATTGTTTTCATTGGTCATTGTCAGGTTTTGTATTTAATATTGCACATCATTGAATTTGTCTTGTCAGCTTCTACTCGAAATTAAGTACAAAAATATAACATTGTATTTAAAAAAACAAAGTTGACCCATAAATTTCGAAAATGACTCAACCAATCAAAAAAATACTAATGTCATATTATATTCCTAAATTTTTCATGCAACTATTTTTTAATAAACTTCTCTGGAACTATCATACTTTCAGAGCTAATTAGATGGCAAGAGCTGGTGAATCACCCTGTATATATATATATATACACATTTACATATATATATCATTTTATATTTATCCTTTTTTTCTCTCTTTAGCGTAAATTGGCTCACTTTGTACAAGCGTTTTTACTTAAAATAAGCCATTTCATTTTTATTCCAGCTGGTGCTTGCACCATTCCAGTCAGATACGCAATCCCGATATATTTCTTCGATATATCGGAGATGATACCGGCCGCTCGTGCTTTTTAATTTTGCCTGTGATATAGAATTGTTTGTTTCGATTCCGGATGAGAAGCACGCTCATGGAATAAAATCAAATCGAATGAAACGTACAAAAAGGTGTGTGTGTGTGAGAGAGAAAGAGAGAGAGAAAGAAAGAGAAAAAGTGAGAAAGTGATGGTGATTGCAATGGCAATGTTTCAATGGTATTGGAAATACGTAAGAATAGATGTTCCTAGTGTACTTTCAATAATTCATTAGCCACTTGTTTTGTTAGTTTGTCTCACTGTAAAATCGTGTGGTCCGTTCTCTGAAGAAAGTGCTTTAATTTCCTCCGGCCGACTTGTTACCGGCTTAAAACTTGGCCGAGATGTTTCTCTCTCTTTCTCTCTCAACGAGTTTCCTCGGACGACGACGCGTTTTACGAAAATACGAGCAAAAGAGAGAGAGAGAGAGAGAGAGACAAGAAACAGAAAGAGACGAATAAAGAAAGATAGAGAAAAGTAAAAGAGAAATTCACAAAGCGTAGAGCAATAACGGATTCTGTGGATTTCGTGGAACATTTCGATTTCAGCATGAGAAAAAGTTTTCCTTAGTTAATTAATGTTATACAATTGAGCGTTGCTGTTGTTATTGTGTTGTTGGTTGGTTGGTTGAGTGTATAGTATTAAATATGTTGAGTTTATGACGATTGAAAGTAGGTAAGGTTTTAAGTGTACTGAAATAACAAAAAAAAAAAAAAAAAAATTGAGTTTATGACGATTGAAAGTAGGTAAGGTTTTAAGTGTACTGAAATAACAAAAAAAAAAAAAAAAAGAAATAGAAAGAAGTTATAGAAAGCTTGGCTATCGGAAAGTATAAATATAGTTGAAAGTAATAAGAAACGTCTCGGTAACATGGAAAAGAAGCTTAAACGTCTTCCATTGGAAGTTTAAACTTTCGCGCGACTCAGATCCGATTTTCAAAGTGGAGTATTATCGATCTGCATTCGACAAGCGTTGAATAGTTAACGTAGGACCCGTCTTAGAGAAGTCTCTTTCCTATTCGCTAACCGATAGCACAAACGTCGAAGTTCGATTCGGGAAACGATTTAAGTCGATCTCTCTCTCACTCGATTTCTCGAACATTTTGCAAGATACTACGTACAATGTAACGGATATTCAAATTTCCGTATAGTTCGAACAACTATAATATAACTAAGGGTAAATGCACCGAATATCCCCCGTATTTCTCTCCTATAGGTAAGAGTCTAATAAGAACAGAATATGGTTTAGAGTAAATCATACAAAATATAGAATATTTGTCAAATGTGTTGTCTACGGCCGAGTTGTAGGTGATTTCCAAGAGAAATTGTACATAGGTAGAGACAAGTACGGTAGGTCACAGAGTAACATTAACCGAGAGAGAAGACTTGGGGGATACAGGAAATGCTGCAGGCTCGAGCGTATAATCAGCATCAGAAGCTCGTGGATTCTCTGCTCGGTGACGGAAGGTGAGCGAATTGCACGCAAACTGTGCCCTTCCATTCTATATGACGCGAGATGTCTACACATACACCTATATACATATACATATATATTATTTATTTTAGGTACGTATATCTAGAAATCTATGTACGTGTACATGTAGGGTAAATGTAAGCACGTTTCTATATAAACGCGAATTTGCTAGGCCGAAATATGCCTGGACATTTCGGTCCCTTCAAAGTGATTAAGCTCACGAATCAGTACAGCCACGTTTCATCTGTTATATAACATTTCTCCTTTACATATATCTTTCTTTAGGTCAAATTTATCTTCCTTAGTTGAACAATGCTAAACATTATCCCTGTCTTGCGTCGTTGTATAATAAAATAAGTTTCAATTCTAAAGTTGGGCTGATTTAAAATACACAAGAACAGCTAACCCCTTCATTTTTATTTTATAACTATAGCATGAGATAGTTCTACACGGTTGTACCACCATTTTCTTTCGTTTTATAAACTAAACAAAACCTACAAGGATTCATTTCATTCGTAATCATCCTTGACCAGTCGAAATTTTTCTTTACCCATGTACTCACGTACAAGTTGTTCATTAAAGAATGATACGAGATCCATTTGGCGGTATTGCACACGCTCGTGACCCAAGTGAACAGCAAAGCACGGCGCTCATATGGAATTTATTAGAATTAGAAATCTGATGTTCCACGTGCTAGACTCAGCGTGGTTTATTAACATTAACGGCCCCCGCGAAAGACGCGAACCATTTGTACCAGAGGCCAGTGAATTACGTAGAACGTGAGAGGCTTCCCCGTTGGCGAATTATTAGCTTCATTATCGTCCAAGTCTTGCCTTGAGTATCGTCATCGTGTTAAAATGGCATCGCTTTAACCGCTAACGTAATCCTACTGAACTATTTTTACGTGGGTAAACGTAATGAGGGATATTCTTGAAAAATAATTTACTTTATCTTTTGTCATTTTTCAATTCTATTATAATTCTTTTGTATTTTCTTTCTTTCTTTTTTTCATAACGAGAATATCTTTTTGACGATAACGAAGAATTTTATCGGATTAAGTATATTCATAATCGTAGTCTTGTTTAAAATAATCAGTCGGTTCGACTGTCACGAGTGTTCTTGTTCATTTACGTTGATGATTACTCCACCTCCACCTCCATGCTTTATTCTTTTGCCCCTTTTATTTTAGACACGAGAAGATATCACGTAGGAAATCTGTTCTAAAACTCGCTATGAGAAAAATTAGTAGCTCGATTCATTCGAGAAAGATTATCGATACTTGATTGCGCTTAATCCGTAAAGTTTTCTCGTTTGACCTTATCCGTTGTCGTCGTCGTCGTCTCTTCTCTCTACAAGTCTACCCCTCTATCTTTTTCTTTTTCTCTATCTACCTTTCACTCTTTTGCAACGTACTGACGGGCCAGGGGACTCTCGTCCTTCAGCAACTAGAACGATTTTCACTTGGATTTCCTCGAACGAAAAATGTGTTCAAGGAAGTAAGTCGCTCGCACGGATGAGAAATTTATGTCAAATGCGATTGTCGTCGACGGAATTTCTCACTAATGATGTTCTTTCCGCGTACCTCATACTTTTCCTTCTCTCTCTCTCTTTCTCTTTCTCTCTATCTCTATCTCTATCTCTATCTCTATCTATCTCTCTCTCTCTTTCCATTTCTTTTAGTTTCTCTCTCTTTTTTTTACGTTTATAAGAAAACACGTTTACACGTTCATTTACCATCGATTTTAAAATATAATATAATACATATATACATATGTATATGAAAAAAAAAGTATACGGGCTGTTTCAAATGAGAGAAATCATTGCTCTTTAAAAATGCATATTTTTTTTCTTTTATCGTGTAAATCGTTAATGTAATATTCTCGTTAAGTTTAACCGTTCGAAATATTCATTTTTAATCATGTTTAAGATAAAATATTTAAACGATTAAACAATTTGGATGATTTAACTCGTAAATAGGGTTCTAAATTGAAATGAAATGTGCTGAAATACAACGGAGATTTATCGATTAATATGAATGCACGTGTGTTAGGATTTTTTTTCTTTTTTTTCTTTTAAATTGGAAAATTTGATTCGGAAAATATAATTGTCGGAAACAGACGAAAGAAATACAGTAATTTGAATTAAACTTGTAGATGAGATTAAAATGAAATAAAATCGTTAAAGTTTAACGTAGATTTATTTTTTTAAACTTCTAATTCTTTACACAATTAAAAATATCAATTATATTATACTGATAAATATAAACTGTAAATAATTTAACAAAATAATTGTGAACAATAAAGAAAAAAACATCTTAACAAATTTAGATATATTCTCAAAATAAAATAATATCTTATATGAAAAATAACGTAGATGTATTCTCAAAATTTCAAATATGTTTGTAATAAATCGATAAATACGAATTGTTCATAATAAAAAAGTATTATAGAAAAAATATATATTATATTTAAAAATATTTGATAATAAAACAAAAGTTAGAAAATTTAATTTAGGGAGGATAATTGTTCAATTTCGAATATGATCGATATTATTGAAAATGAAATAGAAAAATCGTAAGGGTTTGATCACGAGAGGTCTGCGTAAAAGGTAGGAAAGTGAGTTGCACGTGGAGAGCTTACAGGACGCATGCGTGCGGTGTTGCTCCTGCAGGACTCCGTAGTACGAGTCAGTCTGCATCTGGACTCCGGTTCGCGTAGATTTTATACCTGACTTGTACGTGCGCTTACGTGATAAAGAAGAAAACGAAAAGTTGCTCATTCTCATCACCTACCACTATTTGTCGGATTTTTTCTTCCAGGACAAATTACGTAAATACAATGACAATAATGAATTCATTTTTTGGTGCTTGGACCTTATCTTCGTGGTTCGTCCTTTTCATCAGTGTCGTGTTTCTTCTCGATTCATCGGAAGGTAAGTGGATCCTATTTTTTTTTTTCAAAAAAAAAAAAAAAAAAAAAAGCGAACAAAATAAAACACCGCGATATAAAACAAAAAATCGATTTTTCACGTCACGTTGAATGTATTTTCAAGTGGAATCAATCGTTTAACGATTACGGATACAATATATATATACAGCTGGTGCACATAAATTCTCGTTAAATTCTTGAGAAATTCTTAGGAAATTCTTCGGAAATTCTTGTGCTATACCTAATCGTCTTACATCGTCGACTATTTTGTGAACAATTTGAAATACGTCAAAATCTTTTACGTTCCAATTGAGGCTTTTATTTTCAACGATAATTTGATATGAGAAATGTGTAAAAAAGGTTGTGTGCTTAATATCTTAGAAAATTTAGAAAATTCTTCAGTATTTTCAAAATGTTTAGCGATAACATTTTATTTTCAATCGAAACTGAATAAAAGATAATGATTAAAAAATATACAAACCATAAAAATCGTCCAATTTTTTTATACAAATTATATTTAATTTCACTCCAAAATTATCTTCGGTAGTGTTAAATTTTTTTAAAACTTCACAATGTGTAAAAAAATTATAATTTTCGTGATAAAGTGAAAATAAAAAAACTAAAACAGTGAAGAAAAATACAGAACCGTAGAAAATTGAGAAGAGAATACGAAAAAAAGATAAATTTCTCATCATTAAGACAGTAATATTTCTCAACTGCAATGATCTTTAATCTTAGATCCTGGTATAGACGTAGTCGCCCCACTATCTTCGTTATCTACCAAGTGCCTGGGTAGAAGAAAAATTCAGGTTTCCGTCGTTAGATGCTCCGTCAATCTTCGGGATTGCCTGCGATTTCTCCTGGGAGGTTGTTCCCTGGAGAGAATCACTGGCCGTTGCTAGACAAGCAACCGGCGAGTGACTTCGATAGAGAAACTGTCGAGATGAACGAAATTTGGAAAATATTGCTTTTCGACATCTCTCTCTATCTCTCTCTCTTTCAACCTTTCTTTAGTTATTCTTCTTGCGAATACCTCTTTCCTGTCGATAAACCGATAATCACTTTTTTTTCCCCCCTATCCTCATCCCATTCCACAGGGTCGTCTATTCGGACGTAATTTCGTGTATATCAGAAAAGAAGAGAGAGAAATAGAGAGAAAGAGAGAGAGAAAGCAAGCTTTTCATCGGGAGCCTTTCATCGAAAGCTTTTCAAAGTGCAAAATCACTGTCCGAACAAACTTCTCCAGCTTCGGTTTCTATTTCTAGCGCAGTTGCGAAGTGTCCGTGGCAACGAAACTTGGGAAATGCTCTCTCTCTGTAACTAGATAGTGTCGTACAAGCGCCCGAGGTTCTAAGAAAACATAGAATAGGTTGCTGAGATTAGTCCTAGGGGAAAGGGGAAAATCTACAAGCACTCGTTTTAATGACTTTCGAGTCACCCTCTCTCTCTTTTACCCAGTCTCCGTCTTTGTCTCTGTTTCTTATAACTGTGGTGTTGAGAATCAAGTAAATCTCATAAAATCACACGGGAGAGAGAATTCTCGTAAATTCATAAGCATCCTGAGAACTCTCTTTCTCTCTCTCTCTCTCTCGGTCTTTTTCCTTCTATTTCTCTCTTTCTTGTTTTATTGTCGCGTTTGTATGACAAAAAGAAGAAGAAGAATCGTATACGAATAAGAGACTCGGAGATGTCTCTTAAAGCTCGCTAGAGACAAGTAAAATGTAGAAAAAAAAAAGTGTGGGAAAGGTGGATAGCAGGGAAACGTGGTGGCATGCCTATCGCATGACGAAGTAGTACTAGTTTCAGAGGTAGCTTCTAACGTCGTGTCATGCACAGGTCCTGTTGCTAATTATTCGCGAGCACGCGAATGAGAGAAATACCTTTCTCTTTCTCTTCTATGGTTAGTTACTACCTTTCTCTTACTTACCTACCTACCTACCAACCAACCAACAATACGTACATCTAACACATGTTGCGAGGCACGCAATGTTATACAACTCTGAGCAATTTCCATTATGCGATGCTCCTCTGTTATGCAAATAGTGAGACGCGTGTCTGTGCAGATGAACCCTTATAACTTGTTCGATGCTCGGCCTTTCCTCAAAAGCAAGCATTTCCCCAACCCTTTGGCACTTTCTCTCTTCAAGCTTGTAAAACCGCTATTCCGTATGTGTATGTGTTTATATGTCTGTATGTGGTCATTCTCTTACAACATCCTCGAAAATTTCGCGTTAGAAGTTGATACCAACGAGCGTTTCCGGATCTGGAATACCAGAACTGGACGTGTTCGGACCCCAGTTCCTTTATTTCGTTGCGTGTAACGCGAAATCCTGACGAATGGCTTACTCCTTTTTTTGTTTTTTATCTCTATCTCTCGCTATCTTGTTTCCCGTATATACGAATACCACTCTCGTTCGCTAAATCTTCATTTTATTTTCCTCATTCTCGAACGAGAAGTGGAAGAATCATCCGTGAGGGGTGATTCGAAAAATAAAAGATAACAAATAACAGAGTAGACGATATTTATGTGTTCGCTCGTTTTGGTATATTGGTATGTATATGAAAAAAAAAAAAAAAAAAAAAACAAGAAGAAAAAAAATATACATATAAGTTAATGAGAGGAAAATAACAACTAATTATAAATGTTGTTTATTTGATTATAAAATCTTCGGCGTTAATTTGACTGTAATCTACTAAATCTCCGGATTCATTTGCACAAAGTGTGCCTTCGCCTTTATGAAAACTTAACGTAATAATGCGCTGAGTAAATAGCTTTCAAAGCTACGATATTTACCACCGGTGGAGTAGGTGAAACGACGCTTAACGACGAATTCAAATTTCATGAAAGCTTATCTGTGCTTCTTGATTTTATGAGCTTCCTTCCTTTTTTAAACCACAGAAGCCGGGCCATCTGACTTTATCGACCATTTGCAGACGGCTCTTTTCGGAATGTAGTATATCTATGTAGTATGTAGGTGAATCAGGTATATATATAAAAAAGTTCATGGCGGTACCGAACTAGGGAAGATCGATACTTTATTAACATTTTAAAGCAATTGATTCGACCGATGTCTAGAGATTCTACGATTTTTCAATTTTCTAGTTCAATAATAATGTTTTATATCAATTACAAATAAAAAATCAATTCATTTGTTATCCTATTGTACGTTCTTAAGAAAAAAACAAAACTTTTATTTCAATATTTTGTTTATTCAATTGATATTACGAGTGAAATGAACTTTTAAAATATCGGTTTTTTTTAAGTAGATTATTTGAGTTTTTATCTTCAATTTTTTTCTATCATCGTAACATGTTTGCAAAGAAATCAGTTTAACAAATTTTATTCGTTTCTAAGGCTTTTGCTTTTATATAAATCATTTTGATATCAAGAAAAAGTGAAGATGTATACTTGTTGATAAATTTTGTGTAATGTTACGATAGGGCAAACTTTAAAATGGACGTACTCATAGTCGTCGAAATTATTATCAATATACACACTTTGGAAAAGGGAATTCTGTGAAATCGAGAAATGGTCGAAGTTTAATTGGCTCGCTAATTAATATCGATTCTACCACGCGTTTGATCGGATATCAGATTGCGTTTCTCTCTCTCTCTCTCTCTCTCTCTCTCCCTCCTTCCTTCTTTTTTTCTCACTCTCTTTCTCTTTGATTTTATTTCTTTATTTCTATTGCTGATAGATTAACTGCGTTTCTACTTCCATTTAGAATCTTTCTGTACGATAGTAGCAATCTGTAATTTGTAAAGCATCAATTTGTCTGAAATACTTACTTGATCCGTCCTTGAATTTTATTTTTTTATTTTTTTTTTTTTGCGTTTATCCGTAACCTGTAAAAGCTATAAAATGGATGAAAATATCGAGTAAAGAAAAAAAAAAAAAGAAGTTTTATTGATGAAGTAGTAATACACGTATTTGTAATATTTTCTACACCTGATATAATAACGTTTGAAATAATTTTGAGGAAAATTATCAACATTATATTTTTATCTTATATGAAATATTAACAACTTTATATTTTACTAGATTTCTTATCAATTTTTAAAATAAAAAAAATGTATTTATTAATGAATTTTATTCATTAACGTATGACTATTTAAAAAATAATATATTTGTTAGATTATTCAAAAATGTTCAATACTATTTCAAATATTACTAGAAAATTTTGCATTATATTAGGAAAATATTTCAAAAACTTCAATTATTCATCATTTCGTCGAATCAAACTATAATAAAATATTTCCATAAATGATAAAATGATTTAATAATATCATTTGAATTTTTGATAACAAATTTAATCTAAAAAATTTACATATATTCAAAAACGTTTACGAATATAAATATAAAACCATTGAATCTCTATCATCGAATAACAATAATAAATAATTCTATGAAAGATAGAACGGATTAGGTACGAAGGAAGGATCTTTGGGATTGAAAGGTTGGAAACGAGAATGTGAACGTAATTCACGAAGCGGAAGGACGAGAACGAAGCGACGGAAGGGCTATCGCTCGAAGGGCTCCTATTCGGTGTGCATCGGCCGACCGCAAAGTGTAAAACGTCAGCTGCAAGCGTTGTTTTGCGCGCGACCAGATTGCCGACACGGCCGCAACCAAGCTGCACATCTCGCATCCTTCCTGTATATGTATATATACATATATATATTTATCTCTCTCTTTCTCTCTCTCTCTTTCTATCTATCTATTTATCTTTATCTTCATCTAACCAAAGCTCTAGTGCGTTTCCATGCAAACAGAACTTGAACAATTTGTGAAATGTCTTTAGCAAAGAAAACCCTACTTGTATTCGAATAAGTAGATTACAGTAAAGTAATATACAGTGTTTTCCAAGTTTTATTAACATTGTCAATCAATCAATTAGAAACTATAATAATTTGGTTGACCATATTATAGAATTTGTACAATTTGTAAAATGTCCAATGTTGTATTCAACTAAGAAAATTATAGTAAAGTAATTTACGATGTTG